CGGAAAAAGCTTGGAGGAACGAAAACCATGAGATGTTCTGAATTTCAGTTTGTGTCTTGATTAGGGAGTGTGGTGAATAATTCCATGTTAGCATGAAAGCAAGACTCATTTGCATTTACTTCATAAGGATTTGCAGAATCCTTGTGATACGTAATATGGTTTCATGGATATATTTAGCATAGAGATCAAGCACCATATATAAACACAACAAGGGATGTGTGGAAAACTGCAAAAAATACATTTTTGGATCAACACTCATGAATTAACTTTGAACTTGGAAGGCAGCCCACTTTCCTGTTGAAAAGGAAACTTTTCCAGTCTGACCTGAGCCAGCTACTCCGATAGCGGCATTATGGAGTTGGGAATTGTGGAGACTAACCCAATGTTCCTTAACCTTGGCAGCTTTAAAATGTGTGGACTTCAATTCCCAGAATTCCCCAGTCAGCTTAGAGAAACACTGGACTAATCTATTTCTCTATCTGGTTTTATGGGAATGAGGAAGGATGAGACAGAATGTAAAGAAAACATTTTTCCAGTTGATAAAGTGTTTTTTAAGTTCCTCAGTGTGTCACGCCAGCTGCTTTGGGGCAGATTGGAAGACAAAGCAAATGTAGAGGGATGGATATCTTGAGAAATGGTTATGTATTCTGTTATCAGGCAGTGAAAACTGCCATTTTTACTTTGTGTGTGTGTGTGTGTGTGTGTACACAAAGGAAAATGTCAGAGAACTGTGAAATTCGCTTCTTTTTAAAGTGTAAAAGTAGCTTCTTTTTAAAGCTGGTTAATTCCTAAAGCAGGTCATTGTTTTTTATTATAACGATCTTTATACTTAATTCTTAAAGCTGTCATTGTTTTCTAATTAGGGAAGAAATGAATGGTGAGAGCATGTATACAGGTAGTCCTTGACTTACAATGCTACATTTAGTGACCGTTCAAAGGTTATAATGGCACTGAAAAAAATGACTGATGACTGTTTTTCACACTTATGACCATTGCAACATCCCCATGGTCACATGTCCAAAATTTGAATGTTTGGCAACTGGCATGTACTTATGACGGTTGCAGTGGCCTGGGGTCACGTGATCCCCTTTTGCGACCTTTTGCCAAGCAAAATCAATGGGGAAACCAGATTCACTTAACAAATGTGTTACTAATTTAACAACTGCAGTGATTCACTTAATAAATGGGGCAAGAAAAGTTAGCATCAGAAATTTTGGCCTCGATTGTGGTCAAAAGTCAAGGACTACCTGTATTTCCGTCTTCAAACTGACTAGGTGACACTTTGCAGATACTTCTGAGTGGTTTTAAGAAGCTGTATAGTACACCAAAGTTACCGATTAAAAAAAAATTAATCCCAGCTTTATTATTTCTACAAATAAGTCAAGCAAATGGTCCTCATAATTCCTTCCTCCTCCTCCTCCTCCTCCTCCTCCTCCTCCTCCTTTCCCCACAACAACAACAACCCTGTGAGGTGAGTTGGGCTGAGAGACCGAATGAGTGGCCCAAAGTCACCCAGCTGGTTTTTATGCCTAAGATGTGATTTGAACTCATGGACTCCTGCTTTTTAGCTTGGTGCCTTAACCATTAGGCCACTCTCTCCCTCTCTCTGTCTCCCCCCCCCCCCCCAACTGTTCCTTAACTGCTGGTTTCTGCAAGGAAAATAATAAAAAATAAGCATCAATAGGCTTCTCTATGCCTTATGACTTAGTGCTGACACGTTTAACTATCCTGTATCTAAACATGCCAGAATAAGGGCACAAAATAAGTCCCCAATGTCATGTAGGATACAAGCAGCATGTATACATAAGATCATTTAAAAGCTAATGAAAAGGATTTGCTTATCTTGGCTCTGGAGCAAGCACCAAAAGCCACTTCCTGTTTTAGAGGACCAACTTGGTGAAAAATTCACAGACCACTAGGAGTAAAATGGAATGTTCTTATGTGTGCCTCTTGCATACCCTTATCATGTACTAACTGACTGATTTTCAAAGGCATCAGCATACAGGGGTTTATTGCAGCCCTAGGAAAAAGTTTGCAAAGCGCTCTCTCTCTCTCTCTCTCTCTCTCTCACACACACACACGCACGCACACACACACAATCAGATTGTGTTTATCAGGGAAAGGTTGAATAGCTAACGAGGGAGAATATATATATATAATCTCCAAGGCTAGTTGTGTGACAATTTTAGGAACTATTTGCAAAAAAAAATATGAAAAACCCTACATTTTATATTTTCACTTCCTAGGGCAAAATGTATGTTAATTCAACCGTGGTAAAAGTCAGCTGCACTCCTACAGGTAATCCCCTGACTTACAACCACAATTGAGCCCCAGATACTTTTGTGGCTGAGCGAGACAATTGTTGCGTGAGTTTCGCCCCATTTTACAACCTTTCTTGCAACAGTTGTTAAGAGAATCACTGCAATTGTTAAGTCAGTCACACGGTTGTTAAGTGAATCCTGCTTCCCCATTGACTTTGCTTGTCAAAAGGTCGTAAAAGGGGACCATATGACCATAGGACACTGCGACCGTCATAAATACAAGTCAGTTTCCAAGCGTCGGAATTTTGATCCCATGATCTTGGGGGTGCTGCAATGGCCATAAGTGTGAAAGCAGCAGCACTTGATAAAATATTATTATTAGGGACAGATGAAATATAATATATTTTTACGAAAAGACGTTTCTCTTCCTGGGTTAGAATTGGCATACAAAATACATTGAATATTTTTTTTTAAAAAAAAACCACTTAGAATTGAACTTGTGCAAGTTCTTTTGCCCTGTGTTTCACCAGCTATACAGATAAGTCCTCAACTTACAACCATTTGTTTAATGACTGTGCAGTTGCAAAAGCACTGAAAAAAACGACTTGCGACCATTTTTGACCCAACGCTGGCAGCATTCCCCTGAGTCATGTGATCAGAATTCAGCCACTTAACCAATGGGTTCGTATTTATGGCGGTTGCCATGTCCCAAAGTCACGTGAGCCCCTACTGCAACCTTCTGACAAGCAAAGGGATCATAAACAAGATTCACTTAACAACCACTTTACTAACTGAACAGCTGCAAGGATTTGCTTAGCAAGGGTGGCAAGAAAGGTAAAAAAATGCAGAAAAACTCACTTAACAATTAATTGCCTTCCTTAGCAATTGAAGTTTTGGGCTCAGTTGTCATGAGTTGAGGATTGCCTATAACAGGGAATTTTAATTTTGTATTCAAGCTCAGGGGGTTACTTTTATGTTTTAGATAGGATTTCTGTAATGAGGGAATATCCAGTGAATAGAGGTGATTTATTTTCTCTCTTTGGGTAAGGTACCGATTAAAATAGACTTATGTATTATGGATGCTGCTGGATGGTGCTGGATGCTGCACCATCTTTTAAAAAAAAAAATAACCAGGCCTTCTTTTAGATATGAAAGAAACCTATCTTTTAAGTGTTTTCACAGAGCTTTTGGTTCTGGGAAAGGAAGGCACTTTTAGAAGAAAGTCACTCATCAAAACTATACAATTTTGTTGTACTATTCGGCAAATGTGAGAAAAAAAAAAGAAAACATGGATTACAGTATTGGTGGATGTTTAAGGTTATGGGTTTTTTTACATTTGAGGAGAAAATAATTTCCCCGAAGAAGCTGTTAGTAAATAGGTTAAATTTCTTAATATCTGTTTGAAAAGGTCTTTTACATATCAAATATGTGTCAAGTATTTGTAAAGAATGTGATGTTATTTACTCTGGAATAGAAACATTTATTTTTATATACATGGGTTGCCATTTTATGAACATTTACTTGAATGGAAAACATACATATATAAATATTGTGTTAAGTAACTCTGAGCTGTCTTTATTAATCACATTCCAAGGTTACTTGTGAAGGATTTTTTCCCTAGGAATATGGTTAGTAGCTGTGGTGGAAAAAAAACTCCTAAATTTTAAATTGTGAAATCTTGAATGGAGAAATAAATATCTTTGGTTTGGGTTTTTGGCATTTGGGGTGGGGAGATTGCATTTCTCCTTTAAAAAGCAAAAATGTTTTCCCTAGTTGTAGAAATCCGAAGAAGATGTGAGGTTCATATAGAGAATTGGAATGTGATAGCTATTTAAGGAATAAATTCCTCATCTATTAATACATTTCTTTAAATAACATTTTTCCCACTTGCAAAGTGAAGTGAACTACTGCAGTCTTGCAAATGGCACACTCAGCTTTTTGTAGGCTCTGCATTATTCAGTTGCCTAATCGCACTGCAACTTTCAGGAAGTAACCTTTCTTTTCACAGACTAAGAAAAAAAAATCTGTGAAAATGCACAATTCGTTTATGGCCACCCTTTGCAAGATTCCTCTTTCTGGTCGAAACTTTTATTCTTATTCTTAGCTGATTTCCCTGCCTGTCTCTTTGAGTACTGACCAATGCACATTTAGTGCAAAGTTGTTCATAGTGTGACAGGAGATTTTAAAGAATTATGAATGTAGCCACCGCTGAAAATTGGGCATTTGTAAAATACAGATAGTCCTTGACTTATGACCATTTTTTTTACACTTACAACTGTTGCAGCATCTCTGTGGACAGGTGATGAAAATTCAGATACTTAGCATCTGATTCCTATTTAAGATAGTTACAGTGTCCTGGAGCTCATGTAACTCCAATGTCCATGGACTTCCTTCCTTCCTTCCTTCCTTCCTTCCTTCCTTCCTTCCTTCCTTCCTTCCTTCCTTCCTTCCTTCCTTCCTTCCTTCCTTCCTTCCTTCCTTCCTTCCTTAGCAATTGTAGCAAGAAAGATCATAAAGAGGGGCAAAACTCACTTAACAACTGTCTTGCTTAGCAACATAAATTTTGGGCCCAGTTGTGGTCGCAAGTCGAGGACTACCTGTAATCTTGGGAGTCTTGATTCTTCCATAAATGTCCAACTATAATAAATGCCTTTTATGGGTTGGAAAGCAAAATATCCTCTTTGGTTTTATGGGAAGTGTGGGGGCCCGTCTCCTTTTCAAAAATTCTCCTGCACGCAGAAGCTTCAGGAGCAGGAAAACCTCATCACCCATACCAGAAGGTTGAACAGGAGGGACTCTCAGGAATGTTGAAAGCAGAAGTTAATCTTTAGCCTGGTGGAACAGAGAGAGAGAGAGAGAGAGAGAGAGAGAGAGAGAGAGAAAAGCAAGCCTCTTCCCAAATTATCTACATGTGCTCAAATGACTTCAAGGAATGCAAGAAGGAACGGAGGAAAAACCTTTAATCTTTGGATGGTTTTGGCTTCCTTTTTATCCGAAGAGCGTAAGGATACCATTTGGAGACCCCGCAGCAGAGGCAATGCTCTAGAAGTGGTATACAGGGTTGGTCGTCGACCTACAACCACCCTGAGCTCAAGATTTTGGTTGTTAAGTGAGACAGTTGTGAAATGAATTGTTCTCCCCCATCCCGCGACCTTTCTCGCCAAAGTTGTTAATTGAATCGCCACAGTTGTAAAGTTGGTAACCTGGGTGTTAAGTCAGTCTGCCTTCACCCATTGACTTTTCTTGTGAGGAGGTCACAAAAGGGGATCACATAACACAGACACACACACACACGACCTTCTGACAAGCCAAGTCAATGGGGGAAGCCATATTCACTTTAACAACCGGGTTACTCACTTAACAACTGCAGCGATTCCCTTAACCCCTCTGGCAAGGAAGGACGTAAAATGGAGCAATGTTCACTCACATCTGTCCCATTTAGCAGTGGAACATTTGGGCTCCATTGTGGTTGCAAGTTGACTTACAGAAATGGCTGGTTCATATTATTGTGAGAAAGCAAAAAGTTGTGATTGGATGTTAATGCCTTTATTTTATTGCAACAGAGAGTGGGAAGTCAATGTTTCTTTTTTCTTCTTCTTCTCCTTCCTCACTTCTCTTCCCCCTTTTCCTCCCCTCTGCTTTCCTATTGACTTTTGCATTTTGGAATATTTTATAACTCAATAAAGCGTTAGATTGGCGTTGTGGTTCAACTTGAGGACTCTCTGTAATAGCAGGAATTACCTCCAGCGGGTGATGGTTTTCAAAGAAAAGTTTGAATCGTGGGGCATAATTCACCATGGCTGTTGAGTGTGAGTTCAGAAAAACATCTGCAAAAGCCAGTGAGTGCTTTTTATCACACTCTGTTCAGCACACACACACACACACCCCACACACACACCCTGATGTGGCTTCACACCTTCGTGGCCATGGTGCAGTTGGTGTCATTTTGCTGAAAGTTAAAGAGTCATATTTCTACGACCCGTTTCCTATCGATTTATGTCTCTTAGGAACACGCTTCCTGCTCTTCAGTGTTCATGTGTGCATCTCCTGGAACAGCATAGAGAGAGCATTGCTTGTGATTGAACTTCACAGGCTTCCAATTAATTTTATGCCTCTCTGTATTTTCACTAAAGCACAACTGGTCAGAAAGCACCCAGTATTTATCCTTCGGGTGACTTGGTGGTGTCACTGAAGAATATGCCTTTATCTCTGCCCTGAGTTGGAGTGGCTATTTCAGAGGCCTGGGGCTCAACACCTTTTAGATCACTTGGTTGGATTCCAGGGGCCTGTCCCTTGTGCGGGCCTGATGCATTGCGACTCCTCCCAGGCTAAATTCACTCACAGGAGGCATTACGGTTTTCTTTGCGAACCCACTTTTTTTCCCCCCTTACAGCTGCTATACAATCTAATAGCAAAATACAGAATTCAGATCAAACTTTTTCTCTTTTCAGAGGCTATGAGCTTCCCTTTCCTCAGTACTGTCTGCCCTTTCCTCTCCTTTCCCTTCCCTTCTTTCCTCCATTTCTTCCTTCCCTCCCTCCCTCCCTTCTTTCCCTTCTTCATTTCCTTTCCTTCCCTTCCTCTCCCCTTCCTTCTCTTCTTCCTTTCCTTTCCTTTTCCCCTATTTCCTTCACTTCACTTTCCTTCTTCCCTCCCTCCCTCTCTTTCTTCCCTTTCCTATCTCCCTCCCTTTCTTCCTCCCTCTCTCCCTTCCTTTCTCCCTTCCTCCCTTTCTTCCCAGTATTTTCCTTCTTTCTACATTAAATCTTTCCTTCCTTCCTTCCTTCCTTCCTTCCTTCCTTCCTTCCTTCCTTCCTTCCTTCCTTCCTTCCTTCCTTCCTTCCTGAGCATGTAGACCTATCCAACACAACTTCCTCCTATTTTCCCCACAACCAACAACCCTGTGAGGTGGGTAGGGCTGCAAGGGAGTGGCTCAAAGCCACCCAGACAGCTTTCATGCCAACAGAAAAACTTGACCTCTTGGTCTCCAGCTTTCTGCTCCTGTGCTTTAACTACTACACTAAACTGCCTCTCTTTGGGGTGTTTTCTATCAATCAATCTACTATGCAAAGTTGTTTGCATCAACTTAACTTTTTAACTTGGCATTCTTTTCGGTGAGGCTAGAAGTTGTTGACACTTATTTTAATGGCTGTAAATCAGAAATTCTGAAACAGTATGTTTTTATGATAGGTTACTGTTACGAGGTCTGGCAAACTGGGGCGTTAAGAAATTGTGCAACCACTCTGATCCTTTAAAAATGTGCCGCTGAAAATTAACCATTTCGCTGCACAGAATTTTGGCAGCCAGTCCACGATTGGAAGGGCTTTAAATGAAGTTTCACATTAAAGATAGTTCGCATGAATATTAGCTGTAGGGTAGACACTGTGTAAAACAGCATCTTCTGATATGTTTGGATGGCTTTAAAAAAAAAACGTTTACATCCGGAGAACGAGACATTGCTTTTTTCACAGTTGTGTTTTACGTTGACTTTATTTTAACCTTCCTTTCGACAAAAGAGGTTCACAGAATTCTATACTGGCCCCTCTTAACAAGTGCTTGGCTTTGTTCCATTCAGCTGTGTGGGTCTGAACAGTAAATGGGAAATTGAATAATGTGTAAGGAAGGAGGAACGGATAACATATTCCAGCCAAAGGAAGTGGACCTGTTCCTTATCTCAGAGCTTTGGTTATTTTGGGAAACTGGGCTGGGGAAAGTCGAATGAGACTCCTAGAACAAACAAACAAATAAATACTGTAACTGATAAAATCAGCAGAAAGAAAACTGGCTATTTTGACCCAGGTGGGCTGCTACCATGAGCGTTTATTATGATATGTTTATTATCAATATGATTTAGTATTAATATTATGTTGAGAAAATACTGTTATTATATGATCATTACTAATGAACATTATTATTATTGCTTAAACTAACTAACCAGACAACACACCGTTTATAAAGATATTGAAATTGTTGCTCTTTCTTTATATAGTAAAAATAAAAAAATATTTTGGGGAAAAAAAGAAAAATACTTCACAGAAGCACCCATATTCAGGTTTGTCTGTCTAAAATTGACAACAGGCCTTGTCAGTACAGGTAGTCCTCAACTTACACCCATTCATTTAGTGACCATTCGAAATTACAACAGCACTGAAAAAAAGTGGCTTATGACCGTTCACACTTAACCGCTGTTATAGCGACCCCATGGATATGTGATCAAAATTCAGGTACTTGGCAACTGACTTGTATTCATGACGGTTGCAGTGTCCCGGGGTCATGTCATCACTTTTTGTGAGCTTTTGACCAACAAAGTCAGTGGGGATACCAGATTCATTTAATGACCAAATGATCCACTTAACAACTGCAGTGGCTCGCTTAACAACTGTGGCAAGAAAGGTCGTAAACTGGAGACAAAATTCACTTACCTGTCTTGCTTAAGAACAGAAATGTTGGGCTCCATTGTGGTTGTAACTCGAGGATGACAGACCACAATGGAGCCCAACATTTCTACTGCAAAGTGAAACATTTGTTAAGTGAGTTTTGTCCCCATTTTACGACCTTTCCTGCCACAGTTGTTAAGCAAATCCCTGCAGTTATTAAATGAGTAACGTTGTTAAGCGAATTTGGCTCCCCCATTGACTTTGCTTGTCAGAAGGTCAGCAAAAGGGGATTCCTATGACACCCCCAGGACACCACGACCGTCATAAGTATGAATCACTTGGCAAGCATCCGAATTGTGATCGTGGAGATGCTACAGTGGTCATAAGTGTGAAAAACCATCATAAGTCCCTTTTCCCCCCAGTGCCGCCGTCACTTTGAACGGTCACTAAATGAACTGTTATACATCAAGGACTGCCTGTATTTCTCTACCTGCTGCTAGTTGCTTGAAGCCTTTTCTGGCTACACTTCCTTGAAGCCAGGAATCGCTTTCATCATGACCCCTTCTCTAAATCAGGGGTCTCCAACCGTGGCCACTTTAAGACTTGTGGACTTCAACACCTGAAGAACTCTGGGAGTTGAAGTCCACAAGTCTTAAAGTGGCCAAGGTTGGAGACCCCTGCTCTAAATCATTCTCCCTTCTGGGTGAACTTTGTCCTTCTTTACCCTTTGCCCATCCCTAGGCATAGGGAGTATTTTGTTGAGTGGGGCAGATGACATCTTGGAGCGAGATAATTTGGATGTGAAAAACAAGCGGGAAAAGGGCTGAAGAAAGCCCTCAAGGGACACTGACTCATTCGACTTGCATTGCACCCATCCTCGTGATTGCATTTAAAGAAGGGAAGAAAGCCAGAGAGATCCAAGACCACGAGTCTCTTGTGTCTGCTCTAGCTCAGCCCCGAGGCAGCAGCTGAAAGAGTCTGGCCAGTCCCTCTTTATCATTTGAAATATATCTTGGCCTGCGCTGAAACCGTTAAGGAGCTAAAGTTCATCCCAGTTTAGCTTTGCAGGAAGGTTAAGCCATTCTTGCCTTTCAATTGTGGTTGAATATCCTCGGGTTAGTTTATTATCTACATTAAACCTGGGATTCTCTCTCTCTCTCTTTCTCTCTCTCTTTTTCCCCCCAGGTGCTGGAAAACTATTCTGATGGACCGATGACCCCGAAACAGATTCTTCAGGTTATAGAAACCGAGGGCCTAAAGGAAATGAGGTTAGTCCTGTTCTTCCTCCTAAGTCGGAGGATGAGGAACTAAAATTGGCTTACTTCTTTTTCCCTAACTTTCTTCTCTTCAGCCTATCTGCTTTGGAATGCCTTAGGTCAGGGGTCTCCAACAGGGGTGGGGTTCAAATTTTTAACAACCAGTTCTGTGGGCATGGTTTAGTTGGTGGGCGTGGCTTGGTGGTCATGTTATTGGCCGGGCGTGGCCAACTCAACATCACTCACATCGAGGCACGCATCTCCTTGCCTGGCCTCTCATGACTGTGGGAATGCTGCAATAGTCGTAAGTGTGAAAAATGGTCATAAGTCACTTTTTTCAGTGCCATTGTAACTTTGAATGGTCCCTCCACACAAGCAAAGTACCAGCAAAGAAGGGGAAAAAAACCTCCAGAGAGGTTCCTGAGACAGGAAGTCTAGTCCTGCCAAGAACGTAATAAGGGTTAACGGAGAGGCAGTTTCTGTAAGCAACACCAGAATGTTTCCTTCCTGCCTTCCTTACAGGATTAGCCCAGTAATTTCTTCTAACAATTGGTTCTCCGAACTGCTTAGAATGTTAACAACCAGTTCTAGCGAATAGGTGCAAACTGGTAGAATCCCACCCCTGATCTCCAACCTTGGCAACTTTAAGTTGGTGGACTTCAACTCCCAGAATTTTGGGAGTTTGAAGTCCTCCAGGCTTAAAGTTGCCAAGGTTGGAGACCCCTGCCTTAGGTGACCTTTAGCTTGGGTTGGAGGATTCCTTAACTTTCTTCTCTTCAGCCTTTCTACTTCTGACTTGTCTCGCATGATGCCCTTTGTTCAAACTAGTACACTTCGTTGGGTCTGTCACCACCAGGAGCAGGCGTGTAGGGGGTAACGCCATGGAACGGCATAGAAGAGAATATCTGTAGTTGAGAGTTGAATTGTGAGCTCCTTGGTGCCTTCTGAGCTTGGTGGTTTTCTTAACAAGGTTTCATTGCCCAATTAAGGAACATCAGCAGTGCTATCCCAAAGGTGTTTTTTTCAAGAGGCAACTGGATTTTTGGGTTTTTCTGTGAAGATGTTTTGCTTCTCATCCAAGAAATTTCTTCAGCTCTGACTGGAACATCCAGTTAGAGCTGAAGAAGCTTCTTGGATGAGAAACAAAACGTCTTCAAAGAAAAACCCAAAAGTCCAGTTGCCTCTTGAAAAAAACACCTTTGGGTGACCTGGATGACTGAGAATCTCCATAGACCTCAGCAGTGCTAGAAGGGAGGGGGGGTTTGCAGAGAGGAGGGAAAGGCGAGGAAGATTGTGGGGTCCTTGGTGCTCTCTGAGGTTGATTGTTTTCTTGCAGAGGTTTCGTGACTCAACTAGGGAACTACGTCATGTGCTTTCAGCACTGATGATGTTCCCTATTCAGTTAAACCCAGAGAGCACGAAGGATCCCATACTCCTCATCCTCTTCCACTCTGCAAACTACCCACCCTTGTAGCATTGATGATGTTGTCTAGTTGGGTCATGAAACATCTGCAAGAAACAACCAAGTTCAGAGAAGTGGAGGAGGACCAAGGACCGTGCAGTAATTGTCGTTGTCATCTACTACTACTACTACTACTACTTTCTACAAACCCCCTTCCCTTTTAGCACTGAAGATGTTATCAACTTGAGTAACGAAACATCTGCAAGAAAACAGCCAAGCTCAGAGAGCAGCCAGGACCCCACATGGCATGGTTTATTTCTGTGAGCTTGGAGTGACAGTCCTATCTATTTAACGCAGCTAAACTTTGTTTTATTTCTCTAAGATAGAAAGCTGTTCCAGTTAAGTGTTCTAGTCTGACTAAACATGAACATTTACAAAGAGTTTCTCCAGAAAGTTATGTGAGTCTTTCTTTCAGCTTTGGGATGTTCGTTTCTTGCTAGCCAGATCAAAGGCTAACGGTATTAATCATGCTGCCACTTAATGGCCCGCTCAGAGTTTTTTTCTTTTTTAAACCGTAGGCCATATTTTGAAAACGATAAGCCTTTGTTTCTTGTGGGGGGGTGGGAAGTTAAACAATCTTTTGAGTACCTTTTTTGATCATAGGAAGGAACAGATGCAAATAAAATTGGCCTCAATCTGTTGCAGCAGATTTCCCCCCCCCCCTTGTGAATCTTTTTTCTGTCCTTCTGTTGCTCTGCACCCTGGGCCCACGAAAGCAGAGAGGATAGTCAATACTGGGGATGAGGCGGCCCCACATGTGAGGGTTGAGGCTCTAGAAAGAGCGCAGAGAACAGCAACACAGATGATTAGGGGACTGGAGGCTCAAACATATGATGAACGGTTGCAGGAACTGGGCATGGCTGGTCTGGTGAAGAGAAGGACCAGGGGAGACAGGAGAGCAGTTGTGAAGACCCAAAGGGGCGTGGCACAAAAGCAACAAAGTCACAAAAATAAAGTCCCTTTAATTCCTTCAACTTGGCCTCCAATATCCAATTATCATCGGCTGGAGAAAAAACTCTCCCAAGAACAGTTTTTAAAAGAAATTCCGTCCAAACTCAAAGTACATCTAAATTATAAAGGAAAACCAACACAAACTACGCTGCAGCAATTAATGAGACAGGGCAGGATAAGGGATTGAAGATGTCAAAAGATAACGAAATACGCACACTTGGGAGGATGCCAGAACTCAGATAAGACTTGACAAACCAGAATAATTTCACGCTTTTCTTCCAGCAACTTTGCCATGCGCGGTTTGCCCTTTTAAACAGTCTTCCCAGCTGCAGCCCATGAAGGGGATCAGGGCCCTTTCCTCCCCCGTAAACCACGTTGCTCCCTTATCCATTCCTCCCTGTGTGCCCTAGGATGAAGAGAGGGTGGCCCTGGGTCTTCCTCTGGATGCCCAGCCAGACTGCGCCCTTCCCCAGTTTCCTCCACAGCCACCGGATGACAGCAGTGTTCCCATATTTCAGGGGCTGCCCCAAAGAAGAGGGAGTCCAGCTATTCTCCAAGGCACCTGAGGGCAGGACAAGAAGCAATGGGTGGAAACTAACCAAGGAGACAAGCAACCTTAGAACTAAGAAGAAATTTCCTGACAGTGAGAATAATTAATCAGTGGGACAACTTGCCTCCAGAAGTTGTAAATGCTCCCGGAAGTTTTAAAGAAAAGATTAGACCAACAATCTTTCTGAAATGGTATAAGGTTTCCTGCCTGGTTGGACTAGAAGACCTCCAAGGTCCCTTCCAACTCTGTTATTCTGGTTGATTGGAAGCAGCAAGTAGCTTCATTTTGAATACGGTTTACATTTTAGGTCTTTTGGCAGGCAGCTCTCTAATATCTCCTTGGTTTACTAGCTTAGCTCTTTTTCTGTATTATTATTTACATTAATTATACGGTAACTATTTACATTACTGTAGGAGGCTACAGTGCACTTCCTCTGTAGTTACAGGTAGTCCTTGAGTTAAAATTGACACCAAAATTTTATGCTACTAAGTGAAACATTCGTTAAGTGATTTCATCCCATTTTACAAACTGTCTTGCAGTTGTTTAGTGAATCACTGCAGTTGTGTTAAGTTAGTAACACAATTGTTAAGTGAAACTAGCCTCCCCGTTGACTTTGCTTGTCAGAAAGGACCTCGTGACACTGAAACTGTCATAAGTACATGCCAGTTGCCAAGCATCTGAATTTTGATCGGGTGACCACAGGGATATTGCAACGGCAGCAAGTGTGAAAAACAGTCACGAGTCCCTTTTTTCAATGCTGTTGTAACTTTGAACGGTCGCTAAATGAATGGTTAAAACTCGAGGACTTCCTGAGTTCTCTTAGTGGTTCTGGCTAATGTTGTCTGAATGAAGAAGGGGCTTGAGGGGGGGGGCGGGTCTTGCGAATGCAGATCAGCGACTGTCCTATTGCCGTGTCTTTTCCAAGAATGCCATTTGTCTTAAGCATCTGTAGAAGTACAAACTTCTGTGGTTGATATCCTCTCTTCAGCTTGTATCGATGTTTTAATCTGGGGAGAATTGTCCATAACTGCCAAAAACGCAGCTGAGATTTCCTCCCAAAAAAGACACAGACACACACACACACGAAAAATCTTTTGGAGGAGGGAGAAAAGCAACAAAGTTTGATTTGGGAAGAGTTTTGTTAGGGCAGTGTGTAATTTTTCAATGTATAAGCCTACTTCCTTTTTTAAAAAAAATACATTGAAACCAAAGCTCTCTTGAGGTGTTGAAGATTGAAAATCATATTTTAGAACCAGTTTCAGTTCTGTTTTTCTTTAGCCTTTTCCTCTTTAGAGAACTCTCCTATCCAGATGCTATAGATTGTTTTCCTCCCAACTGTATTTTTACCAACGTTAACAAGTTTTGGAGTATAAACATCCAAAACTTACAATGAAGGAAATATTAGAGACAATAAACTATTAAAAAACTAAACAAGCAAAACATAGAAGAGGAAAAAACCCCAAAAATGTTAAAACCCAGATTTAAAAAATAAATAAATACTAGTGCTAAACATTTATGGTCGTGTGTGTGTACAACTATACACCAACTATATAGAAATCATTGCTTTACAAAAGAAGACATTGCCTAATAATTCTAATTTGTTATTGTAAAAATACCTTGAATTCTATGCAGGTAGTTCTTGACTTACAACCATTTATTTAGTGACCATTCAAAGTTACTAATGGCACTGAAAAAAGTGACTTACGACTGTTTTTTTCACACTCACCACCACTGCAATCCTGGTGTCACATGATCAAAATTCAGACGCCTGGCAACTGACTCATGTTTATGACCATTGCAGTGTCCCAGGGTTTCCTTTTATGACCTTCGGACAAGCAAAAGTCCACGAGGAAGCCAGATTCACTTAACAACCGTGTGACTAACTTAACAACAGCAGTGATTTATGTGACAGCGGTGGCAAGGAAGGTCATAAAATGCAGCACGCAACAGAAACGTTGGGCTCAATTGTCATAATGCCGAGGTCTACCTGTGACATTGCCTTTTCCCAGAGGGGTGTGGCTCGTATCAGAGAGCCAAACCTTAATACCAGGACTGATAATTGCTTTCCCAATTCTCAAACAAGCCCAGATGCTGTTTTTTGACAGCACTATTCAGACGATACCTGGGCGGCCTGAATTTTGTCTACCCAGCCAAAGTGGTAGCCTCCTTGCCCAGGGGAGACGGCCTGGGGGAATCGTTACCCATAGGGGAGCTGGAGGTAGGGGGTCCACGGTGTTGGGGCCAAACGTATTTCTCCTTGAAATAAACATACAGAAATTCAAAAGACACATAACCAGCTCCTTGGCCAGCTCCATATTTTGGAGATTAACCAGGAACAAGACAAATTATCTGCCTGATTATCAGCACAGACTCTGGAAACTATCTGTATCCATTTGGGACCTGAGGTGCACCATTCTTAGTCCTTCCTTCCTTCCTTCCTTCCTTCCTTCCTTCCTTCCTTCCTTCCTTCCTTCCTTCCTTCCTTCCTTCCTTCCTTCCACTGTGTCTCTTTCCTTCCTTCCCTCTCCTTTCTCTTCCTCCCTCCCTCCCTCCTCCTTTCCTTTCTCTCTCTCTCTTTTCTTTTTTATTTCTTTGTCTCCTTTCTTCCTTTCTCTCTCTCTCTCTCTCTCTCTCTCTCTCTCTCTCTCTCTCTC